CAGAGTGTTGTTCAGCATGGGGGTGAGTAGAAAATGAAGGCTAATCATGTTTTGGGTGTACTATTCCTTTAACATGAGCGAAGAAACGAGTCCTCAGGAGAGAATCTACAGGTGGGTAAAAAGCGAGAGCGCGGAGGAGGAACACAATCTCATGGTTGGGACGTTTTGGGGGCAATGTTGCCAACTCCTCAGCAATAAAAGTTGATATTGTCTGGTCAAAAAGATGCTAGAGGACGTAATTAACTAATTTACAATCTAATATTTTAACTATTTTAATTCAAACTACACAAATCAATATTGCTGTTTTTAAATCAAACATAATGACAGTTATCAGAGGCATAAAGCTGATGAGGCGGGAGGATCTATTTTAGAGCAACGGGTTCAAAGAAAAACCGGTTCAGGGCGGATCAGTGGAAACTTTATTCATGATTGACTCCTGTTCACAGAGGAAACGTCTGCTTCATCCGACTCCTTGTCAGGGATCCGGAGATGAAGGCTCGCTAAATGTTTACAGAACAGAGGGATCTCTGCTTTCATTGTTTTTTCCTTTTGTATTTCTCAATTTATTTATGTACTTTGTGTGTTTTTTTTGTGTAACTAACCATTTATTTATGTATTTCAACAATAATTTATTTTTCCTGTAATTTATTTACTCCTCTCTCTCTCCATATGTTGAGGTGGGAGGTTCTAACATTTCCTACAGCTGGTTAACTGGGAGAATAATACAGAAGCTGACGATTCATTTTTGTATTCATTTATATATGTACTTATTAATTTTTATAGTTATTTTTGTTTTTCCCGCCCTGTTGGAAGCAAGAGGCAGGAAAAAAAGAGCCTGGAGTGAAATTATACCGAGAATCCTCGTTCAGGGATCTGAGTTTTGTCCCAGTTGTCTGGCACAGCTGGAGGTCTTCTGCAGGAAGAAAAGCTGAGTTAGTTTCACTCCGACCGATTTCTACCGTTTTATAAACAAACGTTTTTCCTTCAACCTACGTCACTTTCTTCGATTTGACTTCTTCGGTGGAGACGAACCGAGGACGTCTGCTCACCACCCTCTTCGTGCCGTAACGTTTGTTTGTCTGAATCATGTCTGAGAAAAAAAATACACATACGGAGTGAGTTTTGTTCCATTATTGTTGAAAGATAAAAACATGTTTTGCAAATGAAAAAAAAAAAGTTAAATAAAAATGAAAAAAAATGAAAAGAAAACAAATAAAGGTTTTAAAAAGTTTTCGCTTTTTCTTTAACAAAATATATATTTTTCATATTTTTTTGTGAAAATGTATTTGTTTTCAAGTTTTTTTTTTTCCAGATTAAGTTTTCTGAATTTCATTCTTTGCAAATTGTTTTTTTTTTCCAGATCCCATTTTCTTCCCTTCTGGGGGCGGGGCTTTCCTCTGGAGTAAGGAGCCCAGACGCATTTCTATTGGTCTGCTGGAGGTTAGCATCATTTTTTATTGGTCAAGAGTGAATCAGTTCTAACAGGCTTGAAGGGAAGATAATGTTTTCTGGAAAACGGAAATGAAAAATAAAATAAAATGTAAAATTGAAAATATAATTTTGTAAAATCAAATCTGTGAAAAGAAAAAAATCCTTTTCATCTCTATTTACAAAAATATTCTTTGTAAGTTAGCATGTTCTCCCTGAGCATGCGTGGGTTCTCTCCGGGTACTCCGGCTTCCTCCCACACTGCAAAAACATGAATGTTATCCCCAGCAGGGACAAAGCATGAATGAAAATGGATGGATGGATGCTCATTGTAAATTTTATTGCAACAATAATGAAACAAAGTTCACTCCATACATATAATGCATTATTTTAAAATCCCTTAAATAGAAAAAGCACAAAGAAATAATTTTTATTACCCTGAAAACTAAGAGAGTACGACTGAGAGCCGACAGAAAACTCCAAAGTGTCGTTCTGATCTTCCAGAAACTTCTTCTCCAGCGTGGCGCTGTTGATGTCCGCAGATTTCCTTCCAGCGCTCTGCAAAACACACGGCGGTTCTGTCTCAGTGGATGCAGCTAAAACCAAACTGTTTTTCTTTAATATAAGGATGAACTGATAAATCCATCAGATGTGTGGAAGACTCAACAAATCTGAAAGCAGCTAAAAGACGAAAACAATCTTGTTCCTGATAAAACATCCTAAAGAAAAAGAAAGAAAAAAAATAGAAATAAGATTAATGAAACTGACTAATCACATTTTCTGTTTGTAAAGTCTTCATTTTTGTAAACGTAGTTCTGTGTAATAACCCTAGCAGCAGTCATTCACTGTTATACTATCATTGTTTGTTTTTGGGGCAACT